GACCCCCAGTATCTGTGGGACCCCATTTTCCAGTGTTGGGGGGGGCCTCACCTCTGGTGATGGTCATAGCGGTGTCGCTCAGGGTCGTACTCACCCCCTACGTCCACCACCACGTCACACTGGGCCAGGCGCTGGGGGTCTCGGGTGCGCACCACCTCCGCGTCCTGCTGGGGGGGGTGCAGTGAGGCTGGGGAGCCCTGGCTGGGGGACTCAGGAGTGACTGGGGACCCCCTGGGAGCTGCCCCTGGTGAGACCAAGGTCCCCTGAGGAAGGACTGAGAGTTTAAGGGTAACCCCCAGGTGGGGCTGGGGATGCCAAGGATGGCCCCCAGGTGTGACCAGGGATCCCTAGAGGGGACAGGGGACCCAAAGGGTGACCCCCAGGTAGGACCAGGGACCTCAAGGGGGAACTGGGGACCTAAGGGTGGCCCTTGGGTGGAACCAGGGACCTCCAAGTGCGACTGGGGACAGAAAAGGTGTCCCCAAGGTGCAACCAGGGACCCTGAGAGAGGACTGGTGACATAAGGGCAGCTTCCATGTGAGACTAGAGACCCAAGAGGGGACTGGGGACCCAAAGGGTGGCCCCCAGGTGGGACCAGGGACATCAAGGGGGAACTGGGGACTTAAGGGTGGCCCCTGGGTGGAACCAGGGACCTCCAAGTGTGACTGGGGACACAAAGGGCATCCCCAAGGTGCAACCAGGGACACTGAGAGGGGACTGGGGACCTAAGGGTGTCCCCTGGGTGGAATCCAGAATCCCAAGGGGTGACTGAGGACCTGAAGAGCAGCCCTCAGGTGTGACTAAGGACTTCGAGGGGGGACTGGGGACCTAAGGGTGGTCTCCAGGTGGGACCAGGGACCCCGAGGGGGGATTGGGGACCTAAGGGTGGTCTCCAGGTGGGACTAGAGACCAGAGAGGGGGCTGGGGAGCCGAAGGGTGGCCCCCAGGTGGGACCAGGCACCGCGAGGGGGGACTGGGGACCTAAGGGGGGCCGCTGGGTAGAACCAACGACCTCCAAATGCGACTGGGGCCCCGAAGGGTGTCCCCCACATACGACCGGGAACACTGAGCGACGACCCTCCAGGTAACGGGGGGCCCCGACGGGGGACTGGGCACCTATGGGTGGCCCTGAGGTGGGACCCGGGAGTCGAGGGCGGACAGGGCTCGGGGCCTTCACAGCGCCCCTGACCCCGTTGCAGGGGACCCGGGCCCGGTCGCAGGAGGGCCC